AAAAAAAAAAAAAAAAAAAAGAAAGAAAGAAAAGGGAAGGCTTGCTGGAAATGTTGGTTCCTAAACTTAATCTCAAAAAACAGGAGTTTGCCAGGCAAAGCCAGGAGTTAGGAAGGAGGATATTTTATGCAAAAATAACCATGTTAAGTAAAGAACTATGGATGATTACTCTGATTACAGTAAACTATAAGCAAATGAATGTGGCTACTATGTAAAGAAGGAAGTGGGGGGCGGTGCCTGTGGCTCAAAGGAGTAAGGCATTAGCCCCATATGCCAGAGGTGGCAGGTTCAAACCCAGCCCTGGCCAAAAACTGCAAAAAAAAAAAAAAAAAAAGGAAGTGGGAAGTAATACAGAAGAAATTGGGCAACCCAACCATTTTTTATCCTTTACACTCAATCACAGGCTTAACTGTATGTTTCTCCCATTTGGACATTTCTCTCCATCACCATTACCACAGTCAAAGGCACCATCATCTCTTATATAGTTTAGTACAGTATGTTTTGAATGCTTACTACGGGCAGGTACTCCACACTGACTGGTTAGTTTAGGTCAGGAGTGTCCAACCTTTTGGTTTCTCTGGGCCACCTTAGAAGAAATGGCGTTGGGTGGTGCCCATAGCTCAGTGGGTAGGGCACCGGCGACATACACCACAGCTGGTGAGTTCAAACGCTACCCAGGCCAGCTAAAACAGTAACAACTGCAACAAAAAAAAAGCTAGACTTTGTGGCAGGCACCTTAGTCCCAGCTACTTGGGAGGTTAAGGGCAAGAGAATCGCTAAAGGAAGGGAGAAAAAACAAAAACAAACAAACAAAAAAAAACTTCAAAATAAGATGAGTGAAAGCCAATTGAAAGCAAAATTCAAAAAAAAAAAAAAAGTTTACAATTTTGTATTGGGCTACATTTACAGGCATCCTAGACTACATATGGCCCAGGACACCCGTTTTAGGTCTTCCAATAAATAGATGGGATTAAAGATGTACAAGATTTATAGAGAGAAGAAGGAAAATGGAAAGTGAGCTAGACAAAGCTAGGCAAGCGATAAGCCCACAAGGGAGGTCTGATCACTGGAGAAGAAACAAGAAGAAAGGTTGAACAGCATTAATCAGTGCAGTCCTAACAAAGTTTAGTAAAGCTGTAAGAGTTGTAAAACCAAAATCAACCATCAGAAGACTCCTGTGTCTACCCAAAAGAGGGCTACCTTAGTATTCACACTATGTTCAAACTACAGGTTTATGTGTCAGAGAGCTAAAACATGACATGAGGCCAAGCACAGTGGCTCATGCCTGTAATCCTAGCACTCTGTAAGGTGAAGACAGGTGGACTGCCTGAGCTCACAGGTTCAAGACCAGCCTGAGTCAAAGCGAGACCTCATCTCTACAAAAAAAAAAAAAAAAAAAAAGCCAGGCATTGGGGCAGGCTCCTGTAGTCTCAGCTACTTGGGAGCCTGAGGCAAGAGAATTGCTTAAGCCCAAGAGTCTGAGGTTGCTGTGAGCTGTGGCACCACAGCACTCTACCGAGGGCAGCAAAGTTAGACTCTGTCTCAAAAAAAAAATTAAAATTAAAATATGAGCTGAGTATCATAAGGCAAGAAGTAATGGTGTGGTAAAAGTGGTAGAATTGAGTAGCTCAGCTCCCTGGAAGACTTAATGAAGGAAGAGTCAAACTTTTGAGCAATTTGGTACAACTTCTCCAGCTCTTTTTCTGTCAACCTTCAGGGACACTTAAGGCATTGCTCCATCAGAAAAGAATGTCTTCTTTTTTACTGAAAAGACGTTATCTCCTCACCATAACAAATTAGGATATGTTAAATCCTGGTCTATTTTTATAAACGTTTTGAGAAATATAATGTACTTCAGTAATGTGTTATAATACACATAAAGCCCATGTATAAGAAATATACTTCAGTAATGTGTTATAATACACATAAAGCCCCCCTTCCTGCCATCTTACTCTTCTTGATATCGCCCCATAAGTAACTAAGTCTGCGTTTGTTTTTTTTTCCCCCAACTATAACCAGTATAAAGATTTTGGGCTCGGCGCCTATAGCTCAACCGGCTAAGGCGCCAGCCACGTACACCTAAGGTGGCGGGTTCGAATCCCCAGCCCGGACC